TCGAGGCAGTGTTGATTTGGGCGAAACAAGCGAAGTTTCGGGCGGAATTAAGTGAATTAGTGTGTTTAATTATTAGTGTTTTAACTTTCATTTGTGTAAAGTAAATTAAAGTGTTAATTTAGGTAATTTTATCGGCAATTTTTATTGTCACGAACCTCAAGCTCTTAACAATTGGTGTCAGAAGTGGGATAAAATCATGCCGATTTTACCTAAGGAGGAAACGGAGGGTGTCCGTACCCGCAGTCAACGCCAGCAGGAGACGGACCAAGAAGATTTGGTGGTGCAACGCCGCAGACTTCGGAGGGCCAGCCACCGGCTGCAGGCCCGTCAGTAGCCCCTACATCTGCAGCACCTGACTTAGGTGCTCTGATGGTGAAGCTGCAGGAGCAGGCTCGCAGACAGGAGGAGCAGGCCCGCCGACAAGAGGAACAGGCCCGTCGGTTGGAAGAGCAGATGCTTCTCATGAAGGACCTTCACGCTACCTTTGGGAAAGAGATAAAGGAAGTGAAGGATAGGGTTGCTCAGCATGACAACCGCCTGTCGGAAGCTGAAACCCAAATCGCGAAAGCTGAAACCCGAATCGACCAAGTGAACAATCGGGTTGACAACGTAATGGCTGACATGAAGAAATCACTGGACGAACTCAAACTTGGAGATGGAGCTACAGCTCCCGTAGTAGCTACAACACCTTCGCTACGTGGGTTCAAGGTGCCACCGTTCGACGGTACCTCTTCCTGGTCGGCCTACAAAATCCAGTTCGAGGCCGTCATGGAGGCGAACGGCTGGAATAAAAGCCAAGCCATGACTGCACTCACCCTAGGCCTGCGCGACCAAGCCTTAACTGTGTTGGAAGCTCTCGGTAAGAAAGTGACCTATGAGCAGCTTCTTGAGGCCTTGGAAGCGAGATATGGCGACGCTCATCTGGAACACGTCTTTCGCGCGCAGCTTAAAGATCGCGTGCAGCGCAGCAACGAAAACCTGCAGCAGTGGGCCCTTGAGGTGGAGAAGACGGTTCGAAAAGCATACCAGTCTGTACCTGCGCTCATTGAAGGGAACCTGGTTCAGACATTCATCGACGGCATCCGCGACCTTGAAGTCAGAGCTGCTGTGAGACTCGGGCACCACGACACGCTTAAGAACGCCTTGGCCCATGCACTGGAGGTGGAAGCCGTGCGGCAGGATCATCGTTCCCATCGCATCAGGGAGGTTGCAGCAGCTACAGTTCGCGACCGCAACAGAGGATACAGCCCTAGGTGCTATGGCTGTGGGGGAAAAGGGCCATCTTCGATCCAGCTGCCCTAAACGAACCGTGGAAAGGAGAGTTGATCGATCTCGAGAGGGTAGTGCAGCTAACGGCACTGCCTGGCGGCGACAGGATCATCGTTCACCTCACGCTAAGGAGGTTACAGCAGTTACGGTTCGCGACCACAATAAAAGATACAGCCCTAGGTGCTATGGCTGTGGGGAAAGGGGCCATCTTCGGTCCAGCTGCCCTAAGCACACCCTAGGAAGGGAAGGTGAACGGTCTCAGAAAGGAAGTGCGGCTAACAGCACCGCCCAGCAGCAGCAGGAATACGACTTTACTAGCAGACACTGCAGCGGGAAATCTCACGGCAACGCAGATGCATTGTCAAGAAGACCTTGTCCTGAAGATTGCAACCATTGTAGTAGGCAAGAGAGTAAGGAGGTGGTATCCGTGAGGATGCTCAGGACGGACCACCTCAGCAACGAATGGAAGGACAACCTACGACATGCACAGCAGGAAGATCCGGACATCAAGCCGATTCTGGGATGGATGAAGGCCCGTGCTACCAAGCCTAAGTGGAGGGACGTCTCAGCGATGAGTTCAACCACGAAAAGCTATTGGGCCCAATGGGACAGCTTGCTGATTCAGGATGGAGTCCTGTGCCGTAAATGGGACAATGGTCGAAGAGACAGCTGTCGTTTGCAAATGGTTGTCCCTAAAGCTAAAGTGCCGAATGTTCTACAGTTGTGCCATAATGGTCGTTCAAGAGTCCATCTGGGAGTCTACTGAAGGTCCGAGAACAGTTTTACTGGGTCCATTATCGTGACGATGTCGAGGATTGGTGTCGTACATGTACAAGTTGTGCGGCCGTGCGGGGACCCCGGACACGTAGTAGAGGAGCACCGAAATTGTACAATGTTGGTGCACCACGGGATAGGACAGCCCTTGACATTGCGGAGCCGTTACAGAAAGGCGCAAGAGGGACTCCTAAGATCGTCCATGTGAATCGCCTGGCGCGTTATTATGGGGCCGATAATGCTCGGGACGAGCATGTCTTAGGAGGGGGCAGTGTTACGCGCTAAAGTCGACGATACACTAGCGCCATCTAGTGTCAGGAACGAGAGTGAGGGGAGCTTTGCAGTGAATGACATCACAACCGACAGCGCCATCCGAAGAAACTAAGTTTCTAGAAAATCTATACTCGGACTCTCGGTACCTTACGCGTGTTTGCTTGAACATTCTGGATATTTGCTAATTTAAATAAGTAGGCGCTGCAAGGTGCGATCGAGGCAGTGTTGATTTGGGCGAAACAAGCGAAGTTTCGGGCGGAATTAAGTGAATTAGTGTGTTTAATTATTAGTGTTTTAACTTTAATTTGTGTAAAGTAAATTAAAGTGTTAATTTAGGTAATTTTATCGGCAATTTTTATTGTCACGAACCTCAAGCTCGTAACACTACTTATGAAGATTATATAGAGTTTTAAATCAATAACATGGTCTGCTTAGTAATAGTAACTGAATGATCATTTTTATTTGTTGTAGTTCCTGAAATATTCTCATAATACATCGAGTAATATGTCTCCTAAGTGATGCAGCTGCATTTTGTCATTTAGGGCCAATTTATAAATTTTCGAATAACAGTTTTTTATAGAATAAAATACAACATAAACGAAATAATGACAATAGTTGTTGGACTGTTATAGTTTAATTGTTTCACTTTTATAATCAGCCAAGTTATAGTTTAGACTAACGAAAAACCGACCAAAACTGTTGAAATAAACCTAGACTTATATAATAACTGGGACAATGTTTTATATGGGCTCTTAAAAGCGATTAACGTAGATTTTATTTACGATGAGCTATTGAGGTATCTATATTTGCTTAGCTTAAATGGGATTAGGTACGCTAATTATGTTTGTATAAACCTTATAAATTACGATTGATTTTCTTAAGCTGTTAACTTCGTTTATTAATAATATGATTACTGATGTATTAATGATAATGATAAATTTATACATAGAAATAATAAATAAATAAAAAATATCAAATTTAAAAAAGTTTTTGGTTTGACCCGGAATTCGAACCCTGGAACTCATGGTCAGCAGTCGCACTATTACAACCATAAGACCAATGCCACAGTCTTGATAAGTAATGTTTATGAACACACAATGCTTATATTGACAGTAAAAAGTTCCATACTGTAACTTTTTAGGGTAGAGCTATGATGCAACTGTATTATGCTTGGAGCACTAATGGGTTGTCTTGACCCAGGCAGGACCACGCTTTCACAAAATACCAGTGTTAACTAAGAGCTGTTGCTGTGTTTTGTATGGTTAATGCAGAGAAAGATCAAGCTTCGAGTCCCGCGCCTACGTCACAGTGAACGAGTGAAGCCGGCCACAGTCGAGCGTGTACCTGCTGTACTGCCATATGTTAGAGGAGTCACTGACAAGATTGGCTGCATCTTGAAGCGCGCTTCCATCAAAACATACTTCAAGCCGCTGAAGAAGATTGGTCAGTTTTTACCATCGGTCAAGTGTAATGTCCCTCTGCAAGATGCAGGAGTGTACAAGCTTGATTGTGAATGTGGTCTCTCCTACATAGGACAAACTAAAAGATCAATAAAAACCCGCGTTAAAGAACATATAGCTGATGTGAAGAATCGACGCTCCGGGAAGTCTGCAGTCTGTGAACACGTACAGGATCGCCCGCGTCACTACATCAGATTTGATAGACCGCAGATCCTCGCTAAAGAACACCGATTCCTTCCAAGGATGATTCGCGACGCTATTGAAATCAAAAAACATCCTAATTTCAATAGAGAAGATGGCTGGGTGCTACCATCTGCTTGGGATCCTATAATAAATAAAACTTTATATCCCAACCCAAGCATACAACTGCAAGACTTCAAGATACCATAAGTTCATACTGCATAGATCGGAACAAAAGTTAAATTTTAATCTATGGTAACCGCGGTTAATCTATGACATATGGACGTTGAATTCATCTCAGTCCTTGCCCGTGACCATGAGTGCTGTAAAGCGTTCGAAACGTCGGGTATTTAAAAAGTTAAAATATACGCGATAAATTCCGTAAAAACTAGTATTATTTTAAGTATTTTGGCTGATAAGGAATCTTCAATGAAAATCTTCGATCTTTTGTCATCCCGGGAAACCATGCCAGATCATTTTGTTGACGATGGAGAATTTGGATCGGATGCTGATTACGATCCAATTGGTTAAAATTACGACATCTCCTATGAAATAGGTATTTCGCGGTTTCAGTAGGGTAAACAGCACAAAAAGTCATTATTACATATTAAAAAGAGTACTTGTACCAATTTACGACCTGCTTCTGATATAGGATCTACATCGGATTCCGCATCACAAAATTCTTTTAGCACCAGAGACGATTCAGAGTATTCTAGCGCTGAAAGCATTTTTGACATTCTTAAACGTAAATTTAGTACAATCAAGCAGTCAACAAGTAAAAATTCATAACTGCATCTGAAGCAAACAACCAATAGCATAGCCCTAGATAGCAATGTAAATATGTCAATAGATTCTGAAGTATTGCGAAGAAATGTAGGAGATGGCATTTAGTATTACGCATTTCTGCTAAACGGTCTTAGAAATTTAGAAGACCATTCAAAGTTACTCTTACAGAACCCTTGTACTGAGGGACAATCACCTGTTCGTCAGCTGTCATCAGCTTTTCCACATCTTGGAGGTGCAATTGACGACCTGTCATCTCATATGCTGTCGCTGTTGCCTTCACCGGAGCCTAAGTGTGCGAAAGCTAACGCGACAATTAACGTGCAACCGCATTTACCTTCGTTAGACCCAGTGCCTATTGTGGAGTCGCGTTTGCCACCATTATACTCTATAAGTAAGGAAGAAAGTTTGACACCGAACTTACAGCAGGCTGCACCATCTCTGGAACCTCCACCGAATGGGCAGGTGCCTTCACCATCCTTGGATCCTACATCTCGCGCTCAATCGCCCGGTGTAATTTATATACCTATTAAGGGCCCACTTTAATTCTGGAAATGAGAACGACACTTGAGAAGGTAATCAAAAACGCCCAAGAAATTTAATCCCTGAGCTAATATGTCGATGGGAAAATACAACTACAGACATACCTACTCTTGAGTTAGACGAAACGTCAACTGGTGTCCAATTTAAAATCACATCGAATATGTTGCCTTTAGATATTTTCGACAAATTATTTCCACCTCATATCATGGTATACAACGTTGCAAAGACCAATGAATACGGAAGAACATTGTGCAACACAAAGAGACGATCTACGCAAAATAATTGTCACATTAAGTAAAGAGACATAGATAGTGATTATAAATAATACATTATCTGCTGCCGTTAGTTAACAAATACCATGTTAATTTATGCTTTAAATTTGTGTGCAAATTTGATTAAAATCGGTTAAGTAGTTTAGAAGTCCATCGCGAACAAACAACTTGACACGTAATTGATATATATTAAGATGTTATAATACGTCGTTTGCTTTTGCACAATTTATATATATATATATATATATATATATAATGTTGTAGCACAGCGTATATTATGAAAATCGACTTTATAATACGTTGTTTGCTATTGCATAGATTTTTATATATCGTTAGACGCATAGCGTATATAAACGTCAACGTCTTAGGACGTCAGCGCAATATATTTTAATACTAATATTATCAGTTATTTGTATAGTGTCATTAGAGTCCGCTCTAGTTTGTACGACAAAATGATGTGAAATATCGCATAGAGCTAAGATATTCAAGTGTTCACATGAACGTGTTAAGGGAGCTCGAACTTAAAAGTCGAAAGTTAAAATCTGCCACTCATCTTAGTACTCGAATATCGGACTTGTGTCTTTACTATCATTTAGACCCAACTACGATTATTGCAACCAGTTACAATGTAGAATAACCAACTTCGTAGGACAGGATTACAGTGAACAAGTGTACGTTTAAGCACAAGTTACACTATCTATTTCTATATTGCCTCTTTATTTTGGAGGGCTCTTTATTAGCTCTTTTTTTTTAAAGAAAACCAACAGCTTTACGAATTATATATCTTATAACTATGTGTATTGTAGTAATGCCAATAACAGGTTTCCCTTAAATTAACAAAGGGCACTGTAACAATCAAACTTTGTTAGTGCTCAAGTTAACTCTGTAAATATACGAAGGAATTCAAGGATGCCATCCGCTTAAACCTATCAATATCATAGATAATTAAGTAAGTACTCTAAACTATACACGGCACAAAACAAATCAAGTAGAAAGATACATTTTACATGTTTCCAAAAGTAATATATAAGTACCACCCATTATAGACATACACAGAGATAATGAATTTATTTTAGAGGGCTCTTTATTAGCTCTATATTTTAGAGAGGTCAGGGGCAGGACTAACAACTTTATGTGATCTTCGAGGCACGGTTGTAAAACATCGCCAACTTCCTAATTCCACGCTGCTACTGAGAATGTTTTGACGGACATACTCAATAACTGATTTCGTTAGCAGTCTGGGAACTATAACTTAACCAATTTTCACATATTTCTGGAAGTTAATCATTGCGCAGTATATATGACACAGTTGTTCGCGCAATGTCTGTTCATATTCTGTAGATATGTGAGCGATTTCTATCAGATGGTTTCTACCTTACTTATAGTGACTTCATTTAAACTACTACTCAAGGAAAAAATATATTTGGCATTTAGTTTTAACAATTATCGAATTAAACCAAAAACAAGTAGCTATCAAAGTTAATCAAATTGTTTTATCGGCCTCGCATGCTATAAATGCCCTTGGCCTATAGTACCCTTGATTAAACTATTTGTGGAGCTAATAACAACTTTCACTTCACTTTTAAACACGCTTCAAAATAATAAAGATTTTCCATATTTTTTCTTTTTGTTTAATAAATATATTTCGTACAAAATTTAGGAATTACTCAGATTAATGTCAACCGCAAAATTTTGCCAACGTATACCGCGATAAAACTTATGGTACCATTCACATCATCAGGATGCTTGGGGGTTCATTGGTGCTTCATTCGTGGTTCAATTCACTGATGATTATTGGCAACCCATGAAAAAAACGGATCTGAAGGGAAAGAGCTTTTTCCTTTTTAAATTGCCGGCAACGCAACTGTAATTCTCTTAGTGTTGCAGTTCATCATAAACTGCGACCAATGCTTACCATGAGGTAAGCCAAATATGCAGCTTACCTAATGGTAAATATTATTAGAGGAATTGAAGAACCTAAGTAATGGTACATTAACATTCGTATGTTCCCTTCTTCAATAAAAAGAACCAAAGTAAAATCTTCTTCTTCATCATTATTATCAAATTCACGACTGAAATTGCGCCTTCTGTTGCAGGATTTGTCTTGGGAAATAAAATGCACAAAAAACAAAATACTTGAATGTTCATGGATTAATAAGGTCATTCACAAATTTTCTATCAAAAATATTTAGAACTTTATAAATAATCTATTAATTATTTATAGATTCTGTCCACGGTAGGAATGATTTCCCGTCACCAGCACGGATTTGCGCACATACTTGATGCTCCTTCCCGTTGTCAGTTTGCATACTTCTTACCTCATATATTACAACCTTAAAAATAATGAATTTAAAGAAGATGAACTCGAAAGATGTATACCACGTAGTGGCAATGTAACAATAACCACTACCTCTTGTCGTCTCGTAGGTATCGTAACAGGCGATGGATGAATTTTGTTAAGCTGCAATGAGTAAATGATAATTAGACAAAAATATTATTGTTCTAGATCATGAAATTTAGAAAGATGGTTATTATATCAAAACTATTACTTTAGCAAATTTTATGGCATACCGTCGTCTTTAAATTGGTTATCTTCATCACAACAAAGTTTACAAATCCCTTAAAACTTAATTTTTTTTTAGTCAGCTTAAGATTACTATCGCTAATTGAAAATATAACTTAAAAATTATTTTAGCGATTGCAACTGTAGTACTTTAACGAAAGTAAAGTACGAACCATTTCCTATTTCATATTTTACGTATAAATTTTAGGATATCTAAAAACGTTCAAGAGACTCACGGTTCACCGGTTAGGCACTGGTCCAAACTTTGTTGCAATACAGTATTTTTCGTCAAATGTTTAAATTATATTTTGGCAAATTTCCACTTAATGATACCTGAAGTTGCTTTAGTTTATAAAATACAGAATTCACCTTTTGCTATTAATCTTCAGCCAAGTTTACAAACCTTCAAAACTTTTTCCATTTTAAAGTGTTTGAATTGCTGTGTCGTGCTCCATTGTAAAGCACTAATGAGGCATTATAATTTCTTTAATTATTATATTAATAGTAAACAAGTCCGATATTTTGAATTGAAGATTTTAAAGAAGAAGAAGCAAACTTTTAGTGTGGGACGAAAGTACAATGTCGCATAAAAAAAGCTGTAGAAGCACTAAATCGAACGCTCCTCAATGCCAATGTAATGGGAGGAATGGTGGTTTTACTGGCTGGTGACTTTCGCCAAACTTTACCTGTCATTCAAAAGGGAACACCTGCAGATGAAATTAAAGCATATCTCAAGTCGTCTATTTTGTGAAAAAAAGGTGACAAAATTCAATTTAACTACGAATATGAGAGTGCATTTGTATAATGATATCAATGCTGGAAACTATACTGACACACTATTAAAAATTGGCGATGGGCAGTTTTAAACGGATGCTGAGGGCTGCGTTAAATTGACGAGAGATTTTTGTAATTTACTACAGAGTCATTCCGAATTAATTGCGAGCGTTTATTCAGATTTAACGAACAAAATGCATGAAGACAAATGATTATGTGAAAGGGCGATTCTTGCACCAAAAAATGAGGGCGTTAACAAAATAAATTCAGATATATTAAGTGAAGTAGCAGGAGAAATAACAGAGTATTTGTCAGTAGACACAGTTATGGACACAGAACAGAGCTGTTTTAATAATTTGAAGATATTTTGAGACGAGAACGGTGTATTGATCAACTACTTAACACTGAGATTTGTTTTCAGAAAAATGCTGAAGCCCATCTCTTGTATCATTTTACTCTGTCACCTGTTTCGAATCAAAATTAAATACGTTACGGTTACTTTAATATTAATGATTACTTACATGACAATAATCAATAGGAATGATAGCTGATCTGCTGCTTCAATTAAACTTTATTTGTATAATCTCAATGTGATATTATATATTATGTAAAAATAATCTCACATAATTTCTTTTTAGTTTTCTCCACGACAGTAATATTTTCCAATACATATTTTTGAATTAGTAGAAAACAATTAAATACTTTCAATTAGTATTATGTAAAATTATATATTAAAAAAAATCTAGTAATGTCTTATCCGTTTTTTTCTCCCACGATCCGTCAGGATATCTAACACTGCAAGTGTTCCTAAATTTATAACTTACGATACTATTAAAGGTCAAACGCTAGAACGAATCACAAAAAAAAACTCCACTCTTATTGAAACGTTTTTCAAGTTAACACAGTTCGAAATTGATTCATCTGTAATAATAAATAAAGTAAGAAATTAAAGACGTGATAATGCTACTCACAAACCTCCAAGGACCAATTCCACCAAGGGGATTTCTACTTAATATAAGGCAGTACTTGACTAAAGTTACATCATATTATAGGTCCCACTGCTGGGCACAGGACATCTCTCATTTATGATTTTAGGGCAAGAAAATGTTCACCGCGCTATCTTAATGCGTGTTGGCAAACTTCACATGACTTCGAAATATATTTTTATCTCATTTCTCAGAAATGCAGGTTTCTCACAAAATTTTGCTTCACAGGCGTGGTACATCTTAAAATCGTAATTAACAATTTCATTGGTGCCAGCGGGGATCAAACCCGAGATACACGTACTGTGAAATTACAGCGAGCGCTTAGACACTGAGCTAATACAGCACTGTGCTTGCCTAGAATCCTACCTATAGA